TCTTCAGAGAAAGCAAGGAAAGAAAGTTGAACAAAAAGGGAGAGAAACTAAAATAACTTGGGAAGGAGCATGGGAAGGGGAAAAATCCAGTGCATTTATGTTACATATATTTCAGATTATTAAAATTGTTGGGAGCAGACAGGAAAAGGGGGGGGGGGAGAAAGTTGGGTACTTAAAATATTCTAGTCAGCATTGTACACTAACAAAAAATGCTGTAGTATGTGGGTTGCAAACACTAAAATTATAGATGTGACTTTCAATTGAGTTTGAATTTTGTATGATTACATTATTTGAATCAAAGTTTCTTAAGTAAAGCCTAACTATTGAACTAGCTTCCTAGTTTCAGTGAAGCAGTTGGTGATAAACCAAAATGTCCTCCAAAATCATGTTCATATTCCAGGCTTTAAAGGAAGTCTTCTCAAAAATAAAATGATATAAAAGAAGAACACTTGAAATAGTAGGCACTGTGGAGCAGTTTGAGGAATCCAAGGGAAATTGCATGAAAAAGGCTGTAAAAAAACCCCCCAACTTTCATCAGAGGTGCATTTAGTTTAATAGATGAAACACCATAGGCAGACAATGGTTTAGCATAGAGATGTTGTGAGTTTTCCATACAGAAAAGATAACTCTTTGCTGACGTACAGCTCAGGTATTTTGACCTCAGGCCTCTGATTTAAAAACCTTGTATATGGATATGCAATTAGTACTGCATTTAGTATGAATGATTTGCTTGCACTGATGAATGAGGAGGGGAGGGGACACATTTGGCAGCACTGTGCGCGTTTTCTGAAATGTCAGTTGGTGTGGCAGAACTATTTATCTTACCCACTGAAAATTTACACGTTTGTTCTAACTTTGCAGCTTGACGAGGGGTGGGGTTGTCCCACTGCCTGAGCGCATCCTGAAAGACTTGTCTTGTTCTTGTTTGCAGTTCAACGAAACGCAGTAGGTGCTGTTATTTCCAGCCCTGGCCGACGAGTGTTGTAGTTTCTTACCCAACACATAGCTAGGAGATGTTTTCCTTCGTGTCTGCGGCTTTTGGGTGCCAGACCATCACTGAGCGATGGAGGGAAGGAGGCAGCAGGAAATCAAACGAGGCAAAGGCTGACAGCAATAATAGCCGGAATCTTTTTCAGCTCTGGTGTAGCCTTGTCCTCAGGCTGCCCTTCCATATTCTTTTGAAGGGATTTGAGTCTTAATGTTCTTATACTGAGATCAGCTATATACAGTTCTGTGCCACTGAAATGTATAGAATTTGGACTTCAGCTTTCTGGTATTTTACACATACGAATACTGTCTGACAGGTTAAAGATGGCAGCTATTTATAATTGCCTAGAGAATAATGAAGCTTGTTTAAAAAGAAACGAATAAATAATCAGCTCTTAATAGTTGTAATGTTTGAGACTTTTTATGATGGGTACGTTTTGTAAGCATCTTTGTTCTGTAACAAGAATTACAATAGAAGATACAGAAGATCATATAATAGAAGATTAAAAATATTGTGCTAGGGTTATTACTATTTTAATTGAAAATAGTGAGACCTCTAATTGATTTTGAAATTGGTCTGATAATGCTCAGCTCTTGTATTTCAGCAATGAATCATGATCATAGGTTACAAATTATTTTAACCATTAGGGCATGGAGAAAAGGTACCATTCAAAGCTGAACACCACAATTAAGGATGCATGACTGAAGTTTCAAAGTAATGTATTAGTAGTATTGTATGAGACAGTCACATGAAAAAGATCATGAGGTTGTGAAAAGGATTATGATCATGCTTTAGTCATGAATTTCGTGGTAGAGATATTTTAGTCTGGATCGTGCTTGTTTAAATTAGAATAATTTGACTTCTCTTGTTCTGGTTATATTACCATTATGTGGCAAAGGGTGTCTTACCTACAAAAGTAGTACCCTTTGAGTAACTGAATTTTACTTAAACTGGAGATGCTGTTTTCAGAACTGAGAAACTGAAGTTAAAAAGATGCTGAACAATTTGCTAGAGCATTACAGTATACTGCATGTACTTACCTGCTGCTCCCGTCTTCTGTGCAACCATATGAAAGTTCATCTTTCTCCCAGGGCTTTCATTTGTCTCGCATGTACCTTAACTGCTTATTCCAGATCCTGAACCTGCTCTTCACATTAAGTAACATTCAACATTGTAAATCCTCAGTTGATGAAAATCAGCATATTCCTATAGAAATGTGGAGCTCTGATCTGTCACCAGCCATACTCCTGATCCAGTACCTTTACTTACTGCCAGAATGTTTCTGCCTCCTGGGATGATGTAAGTCACAGAGCCCAGGTTCTCAACCTGTGTGAGAAAGAGCATATGTTCGTTATTTAAAGGTTATGGAATGAGTTTCCAGACAATCATACAATCTGAGGGTTGACTCAGTCCAGTGACTCTTATTGCAACCTGTTTCTTTCTACTCCACCAGTAACAACTCTGTACTTACCTGTTTCCTCAAAGGAGAACGGAAAAAGCTTCTGGAAGGTGCTTTGAGATGCATTTAATGTTTCTGTACTAATCCCAGTGATGTATTTATAAGAACATTAAGAATGCCTTAAATAGAGTCTGTGAGTGAAAAAGACTATATGAAAATAATATCTCAGTAAATTTTAGGGATGAACTTATCATACTAAATTACTTGAAAAGGTTAGTCACAGCCCTTAAATCAGTAACTGGAATGTAGGTGATTGAACTGGAGACAAACTGCAGTCATTCCAGACTGAGGATTGAACAGTTGTTTATAAAAATAAAACAGTAGTATACAATGATTACCCATTGACCCATCTGATGTCCCTGGAATCAATTTTGATGCAGATGCCACCATTTGACAGGTATTTTTCTCATCTTGCATCTGTAACTGGGTCAGTTACAAAGAGAGTTCTGCTTTTCTTTAATCTTGCAAGCATTTGAAGCTCCAGTGAAAAGCGAATTTTCATCTTTTGTATTTGTAGAGTTTAACGGGAAAAACTTTTTCCCCAGTCTCCTGTCTTAACTCATTTATTTGCTATATAAAGCCATTAAAAGGTAGCCCTTTCCTCTTTTTCCTCTGATTCCTTTTCTCTGTCAACCTGTTGCAAGTATAGGAGCTTCCAAGAGATTTTTTTTTTTTGGTGCAACAATGTGGTTGCAAGTGCTTAAGCGCAAAACATCAAGCTAATATTTTAGGAAATTAAAATGGACTTTAAATGTTTGTGGTTTGCTGCAAAGCACTTTCCTGACTGATTTCATGAAGCATGTTTTAGTTAGCAGCTGGGGTGGCCCTGAGAAGGACAACTAAATTTACCATTTCTGTTCTGAAAATCAGCAGCATTTTAGGATGTGTTGACCAGGTCACTTGCATCTTTGTGAATGGGTCAGTCGCAGCTCTAGTCAAGGTGCCCGTAAATGTGCTTTCAGTGTAAAAAGAGATGAAAGCATACTTGACCTGTTCCCTATTACTTTACATCCTTGCACTCGCTGCAATGTTTTGGTAGCATCTGAGTATACAGAAAGCAGGGTGGATGGAGCTCTGTCCTCACCCTTTCTATCAGCTCTCATTTCCTTCTCAGTCATATTCTACATTTGACTAGTTATGTGTAAAAGCCTTACTTCTGTACTTGGTTCCTTTGTCTATTTTAGTCAACTCTATTAAACTGTTCAAAATAGTCATTCAACTGTTCAGATTGATTGGGAAGCTCCGTGCTCCTTTCTTTTTGTGGTCTGCTCCTTTGCTGGTAGGAGGGCTTGATTATCTACTACATGTATCTAGCAGAACTAAATGTTCTAAATGTTACACATTTTAGTTGGCTTGGTACCATGCAGAACGATTTAAGTGTTGCTAGAAAACACTGGCAGTATTTAAATGATTATTTATTTTTTTTAAAATATGTATTTTAGAGGTTATTATCTACCCAAAACAAGTCTCTAGAAAATAGAAGTCCTAAAGTACGGTTCTTGGCTTATCTTTAGCTTTCTAGTTTGATAACACTTTCACATATACTTTGATTTTTTTTTTTCCTTAAAAGTTTATTTTATAATAATTATTCTGGTTTTATATATGTTTTTGCTAGCAGATGTAAACAAAATAAAGCTTGTTATATTTTGTAAAATAGTGAATTGTTTTCAACTCTGAACACAAGATAGACTGCTGCAGTGTCCTCTTCATTACCTGATGTTGAATAGTGAGTTTCTTACATTTAACGCTAAACTGAAACCCACATTGTCCAAATGGTATAGTTTCTAAAAATCAGTACTAACTACTTTGAGCTAGAGTGTGTCAGCGTTAACAGTATTTTTTGAGTTGCATAAACAGATGTGTTCCATATAACTTTATTTTTAAATTAACATCCACATAGATCTTTGAAGTCAGTAAACTCATGTAAGTAAAAAGTACTAAAAATACGAACATTTAAGCAATACATTGAAGTTGGTTAATGACAACTTGTTTTTAAATCACTAATTACCCATCAAAATAAGGAATTGTGCAGTGTCTGTGTTTAGTGGAGGTATTTTAGCAACACATAAGAGAACAAATGATGTGTGGGTTTTCAACTATACTATCTGCCTGTCATCCCCATAAATAAAAAAATACAGACAGTGTTATTGTTTTAAAATAATTTTTATTCTTTCCTAACTTGTGTTTTAACAAGATTTTCAATATTATAGGTTATTATAAGCATAGATGCCTCTGAAAATGTACACAAAAAATATTCTGTTATGACTGACTGTAAACGCTGATCTTTTTCTTGTAATTGCCCCTGTAAGTGTGGTAAGACTGCATCTCTAAAATACACAGAACCTATCTTACTGTTGGATAAGAAAAGTACATTAATACAATTTCTGCAGTAAAAATACTGCAATTGTTATTCTGTTAACGCCAACATCTAAAAAGATCTGTGAGTCATTCAATTGGTACAAATAAGTACCAGACTGATACTCGTGTAGTACAAATGTTGAGATTGCTTTTACACCTAAGCGCTTCCCCTTGTGTTTCTTGTAGGAAACAGAGATGAAGGTACACATGCACACAAAATTTTGCATCATTTGTTTGCTGACATTTATCTTTCATCAGTGCAATCATTGCCATGAAGATGGACATGACCATGGTCCTAAGGAGAAACGTGTACACTACCATAATGACTATCAGATCTCAAATGCATCCTACTTCCAGAATGGAGGAACAGAATCTATGCCGAGTAAATTTTCAACGCTGGAAGCTGAAAATGAACAAAAATACTACATTGAAAAGATTTTTGATCGTTATGGTGAAAATGGAAGATTATCTTTTTTTGGCCTGGAAAAACTGTTAATAAGCCTTGGTTTAGGAGAGGTAAAAGTAGTGATGATAAATCATGATGATATTGGCCATGATCATGTTTCTCACTTATATGCTTTAGAAGTACAGGAAGGAAAGCATTCTCACTCTCGTAACCATCCTCATAGCCACTCAGATACAGAAAACCAAACCACGATCAGTATGGCTGCAAAGAGAAATCATAAATGTGACCCTGAGAGAGACGCAGTAGTGCCATCAGTAAAAGATGATGGCAAACACATTCATGACCAGAGTCGCCATCACCATCATCACCACCCTCGTCTACATCATCATGACCATAATGGTACACATCATTCTCGTAATGATTCAGTTAGTCATAGTGAACATGGAGAACAGAACCATGAACCTTCAACAGAGACAAATACAACTCAGGATCAGCCAGAAAGAAAACAACGGAAACAGAAGAAGAAGCAAAAGAAGATCAGTGAGACTTCAGGAGATGCTACACGGGATTATGCCCCAGATCATGATCCAGGTGATCAGTATGAGCACAATCGTGTTCATAAACATGATCATGTACATGATGCATCTCACTTGCATGTACACCATCATGAACACAGTAGTGATCGTTCTACTAGTCATGGACATCAAGATTCCAGTTTAGGTAATGAGGATGGACACCACCATACCAGCAAGCGAGAGGCACCTCATAAGCAGGTTAGTGTAAGAAAACATGCTGTTTTTTCAACGCGTAGTCATAAGGATCATAATGAAGATGGACGTGATCGTGAAGAGGTGAGTATGAAATGGAGAACCAGTAAGTTCACTTTCGCTGTTGTTACGTAATAATTGAAGGTGCATACCCACAAATAACGCAGAAGCACGTTTGCAACCGTTGCATAATACAGGTAGCAGAGTGAGAATGCTAAAGGTCACTGCCACAGTTTTGAGTTTACTTTATGGGTTTTCATTTCTGTCTGCCTGTCGGCCATCTTTTCTCAGAGATCTATCTTCTTGCCTATTTATCTGTATAAAGGAGATACTTAAAGCTTTCTGAGATACCATGCTTACAGGTGGGGTTTTGTCCCCTTCCCAATGTTCATGAGTACTTTCCACATACACATACATTTTTTGGGCTTCTTTCTAAATCTAAGATCATTAACATTTTTGGAAACTGCACAGAGACTCTTTCCTAAAAGAAACAGCTGCATCTTTTCAACGTGCTTCTAATTTCTTTGTCCTAAGAGATTGTGAAGCAATGTAGATGTAGCTTCTGTAGCACTGTGCTCGGTGTAAGGTCTTCTATTTCTCCCTTCAGCATCTATTATTTCTGCCAGGACCATAAATGTACTTTCCCTTCCCCCTTACAGTTAACTACAGGAGGACATTTTGATGTCATGGTTTTAAACTAGAAGTCAGGATAGGAAAGGATGGAGGGAGTGCGGAGTTTGAGGTTTTAAACTGAATTAGAAAATGAAACTCCAAACACAGAAGGTTGGTAGGTAAAGAGAAGTGTAAGAAAACCTATTTTGGATTTATGTTCTTCCACTCCTTTCCTGTTGCTCTTTCTTCATTGCTTGTACTGTGTAATGGCAAAGAATATGGAAACTAAGTTTCACTGACATTTATCAAAAATTATATAGGTGTTTGGAGACTGAGTTTGTAGTGCAGATATTTTTACTGTTTCTTTCCCCTCATAAGCCACTTAGATCAGCTTAGACATATTTAGCACTGGTGGAATGTTGTGGGCCAGAGTTTCTGCTTTCTGTTTGTGTTCTCAAATTATATGCTAAATTTTCCATAACTGTAGTTTTTTAATGAAATAGTTGCTTTCATATTTAATTGTTTGTATAATTTGCTTGCAGTGCTTAAATGTTACCCAGCTGCTACGGTACTATGGTCTGGAAACCAGCTCTCCAATATCTCCTGAATTGTTTATATACATGTGTCCTGCTTTGCTATACCAGATTGAGAGAAGGCTTTGTATTGTACATTATGATGAGCTTGAAGATTTTATGAAAAGTAAAAATGCATCAATTGAGAATAAAGATAAAACAGGTGCATCAGGTAGGTGTGTAACATCTAAAGCCTTCAAAATTACTTTGCATTGTAAATATTAACGTCAAAGTTTGAAATGTCATAAAACTTAGTATTGACTGTAGAGTAAAGGAATGGTTGAAATTTAACATATTTACTAGAAGAAATTTGAGACAGCATGCTCCTTTAAATCAGGAGACGTAGCATCCTGTTTGGTGGTATAATAGCTTCTCCTAAGTAACCATGATACAGGGAGGCATACCTTCCTTTCTTGTACCTTTTTATCCTTTTTCATTATTTTCACTTTTTATTTTATGTTTGCTTATTTTTACTTTTTTTTTTTTGTCTTCTATCATTGAGGTCTAACGTCCTATCATTGGGCCTATGGCCCAGGCATATTGGCCTGGATTCTTCCCACGTATCTTTAGACGTTGGACTCTTTTGTAGTAGGAACATAGGCAAGGTATGGAATCTTTGGAGATAGAAGGATCTCTAGGGATGAGCAAGTCCACCCGCAGTTTGGATTATTTCCATTATTTAAAATACGTTATGTTTTTTTCTCTTAGTGTGACTGAGGTGGTCCATATGTTTATCTTAAAGTTGGAAAGTTGCAGTGTTACTTTGGCACAAATTTTCTTAATAAATTTGACCTGGATGTATTCATTCAGGAATAGAGAACAGCACTTTTCATCACAGTTCATTCACTGGAAAATATTATTTCAGATGTTACTGGTTTTATGTTCTAGCAGTGATGCAAATTTGTAGAACGGACATCCAGAATTTTTTGTGAACTGAAGAAATATAAAGACTTAAGCAAGATGCAGGAGCGTTTAAATTGCCATTTCTGACAACAGTTCCCTTTTCTGACTTCCAATGTCAATTATTCTATACTACTCCTCTCTTAAGCATATGAGAAGTATTCAATCAAAATCCTCTGTTGGCAGTTTTAATTTTTTTGTGTGTGTGCCTTGAGTAAAAATCAGTAGACTTCTTTTTCTTCTTACCGTAGTTCTAAACTAAAAATATTTTTACCATTGTTAAAGCAGTTACTTTAAGGGCAGCATCCATTGTTGTGATTTCATAACTGAGTATACTTTTAAAATATCTGTTTACCAATGCTATCTTTCATAAATTATAATGGAGCTGTTGATAGATGTTTATTAGCTGCAGTGAAATATTAAAAATCTAAAAAACTTGGGTAAAATATCCATGTTTTGAAAATAAAAATATTGGTAATTGTGAATATTGATTAGTACATACGTGCTTATTAGCATCGTTAGAAATAAAGCGTGAAGTAACTACATTCTCATAGATGTTAATAACTGTTGGAAGGAATGCATTGCTGGTAATCTTTCTTAACAATGCTGGAGTCATTAAGATAATTAACTTGTTATACATGAATCTCCTATAGTGACACAGCTACTATCTTGTTAACTGTTCAACGATTGCTGTAAATGGAATACACTGTGTGTTTTATGTGGCAGCAAATTGTTTTGTGGGGTAGTCTCAGTCTCATTGTAGTAAGAGTTGACCCCTGCCTTATTACCAAGAGAATTTGTACAGTAGCTCTAAGCATTTTCTGCCAGTTAAAATGTTGAAACCATGTACAAAACTGTCATGTTTCACATGCTTTGAATCAGTTTAATTAGAAAGTTTCTACAGATGAGTGCTTCTTTCTAAAGGAATGCATTTTCTTTCTCTGTAATGAGTAAGGGAGTTGATGAATAACTCAGCTTGAAGATCTTTAACATTTTAAGAGACTTAATTTGCAAAATTAGTGAAGCTTATTGTGAACATTTAAGATGTTTTATGGCATCTGATATCTTGAGTATAAATAACACATTTGCCAGTTAATTGTAAAAAATTGGGTTTTAACTTACTGATTTGGCTCTGAAGACAAACCTCTAAAACAGGTCAACTTGATTAGATAATGATAAATCATTCTTCATAACAATTTCCTGCATACTGTTGTATTAACTACAGTGAGACTTCAGTTGATGTAAGAATCATTTTCCCTTCTTAAGTAAGGAAGTGAATCACAGAATAACAAATCTTAACTGGTATATGGGGATTGTGGGAGGTGTAGGACAAATGTCAGTCATAGAGTAACTTAACCTGCAGGTTGTAGGATTCTACTAAAATGAAAATGTGTGCTTACCCGAGCTAATGTAAACATTTTTAGATAGAAATATTTGCCAAAGTTAGGAGGATGCAGACGTTTTCAAAGTTTTAAAACCTTCCGTGGTTTTCTTTAGTTTTAATTAAAGCTTTCAAAAAAACTTAATAGACCAGTGCTGCTTCTATTCATTGATACTAACCTGTAAGGTTTCCATTAGTTATGATAGTGCAGTTTTCTAAAGCAAAGTCATTTAATTAACTGATGACCAAAAACTTACGAAGCCATGTTGGGTTTTCTTCCTGTAATTTACAGATAGTTTTGTAACATCTTCTAATAGAGGATTTTCAGGGGCTTATACATACAACTGAGCTTTCACAATGTACCTGTTGGAAGAGGCGGCGTTGGTATCATTGAGGGCTGCTAAACAACTTAACTTAAAAGGAAAGGTACTATGAATCAAGCTAGTAGAAGTGATACAAGTAAACAGTGAGCAATTTTTTTAAAGACGGAGACCAGTTAGAGCTGTTGATTAAAAGTATTTCAGATCAGATATATCTTGTAAATCTGCCTGTGCAGATGCCAGTGTTCCCTGGACCTTACCATTCCCTGAACCCAGGAAGGCTTTGCTTCAGTGGAGTAGCTTGCTTGCTTTCAAAGCTTGCAGGTAGCTAACCGCTCTCAGCCTTCCGAAGAGTCTACCTTACTGCCCTTTTAGTCTGTTTTAATTTACAGATAGCTGTCCAAATCCGGTGCGAGCAGGTGTCTTTTGTTTGCTACCCACTGTTTGAACAGAGGTCCCTTACTGAAGAAGTTGTTCAGTCACCTCCCTCTTGGTTTTTTTCCACAGAAATATTGTATAAGCCCGTGCATAAAAACTTCACCTCATTGACCAAGCTTTAGACGGTATTCCTAGGAGTGTTATACTCTGAGATCTGTTATAACTTAAGAGCTCTTGCAGTGTTCATAATATTGCATATTAGTTCCACTTCCATAGTATTTTAGTGTTTTGAACATTACAGTTGAATGAAATCCCGCAATAAAATTTTGTGTCGGAATTTTGTCAGTAGTCCTTTTTATATGAGTGTTTGTACATATATGTAACTGTGGGGTCATGCATAGCTTTTGTATATAATATATTTTTTATCTTTGACTTGACAGCAACCTTTTGCTGATAATTTTGGTTCCATACCATTTTTTAAGAGTTTAAACAGAAACAGAAGCTAATGACCAAGATCTGAGAGATGTGCAGATTCTGTATTCTGATTCTCATGTGCCTCATCTTAATCATGGTGCCTTGTTTAGATACTGTATCATTCATAAGAGTATGTAAGCCCTTCAGAGATGCGTTTGCCAAGTATCTGCTATGACGTATGAAACTTAAGACAGTTTGCATAATCTCCTTTCCATTTTTCTCCATGTAAGGCTGTTGGTCATTTAACCTGGCAGTTAACATCATAAGATCTGTGTCCAGATCGGAGATCCATTGTCCTGCCAAATGTCCGTGTAATTTTTATTTGGGCTACTTGTGCATGAGTGCATGAGTCAGTATTGAATTACAAGTCCATGTATGCTGTTTCTTTCAGCAGAGCCTGTTAATCCAGAGTACATGATCGAAGTGCTCTGGGGATGAATCAAGGCTGCGTAGTGGCAGTATTTTGGTCGGCAGGGTCCTGCTTCCACTCTAGACCTACTTTTGTATTCCCATTTTCCAACTTCTGTTTCCTAGTTCCTCATCTGATGGCAATCTTGGCTTTTTCACCAACTCTGTTTTCCTCTTGGTATCAATGTGCATTTCAGTGTCGCTGCATACTTTCTAAAGTTTTTTCCAATCAGTTTCTCCTGGAGGATGTGCTCTTGTACCCTTTGCATTTGAATTGGATTGTTTCCTTTTCTGGACTGTTGTGGAATGACAGCTACAGATTTCATAAGAATGAATATCCCAAAATAAAATTTAAACCAGCAGATGTTGTAAGTTTTGGTGTTGTACGATACCAGGCCTGCATTAGCCACAATTCTAGTGGCAAAATCCTGTCAAATCTGACCTGTAGCATTTTTGGTACGTTCTTGGGACATTTGACTGCTAAATTATAAAATTCATTGAGCAGCTACAACATATTTATTCCTCCTCTCTTTATTTCTCCTCTCTCCCCCATCCCTCCCAGTTCCCAGGATGTTTTCCCCCACTTGATCAAAAATGAGTGGACCTTCATAATTGTAAGGAAAGTCGGATCATACACCAAAGTATGGAGATGCTAATGATTTTATATCAGGAGTTGTTAACTTTCATTAAAGTTGGCAAACTGTGTAGACATTTTTTATTAAGAATGAAGCCAGGAAAAAAACTGGAAAAACCTGAAGCATTTAGGCTAAAACTTAAATAAAGAAAAAAAAAGTTCAGATTGAGGAAATCATGTTCACGAAAGATCTCAGGCCGAACAGTTAATGTTTGTAAAATAGGAGCATCAACTATTCCTGACTTTGGGACTGTGAACCTTTTGAACTGTATTGTTGGAATTAAAAAGTTTTTATTTACTGTTCTTTGAAGTTTCTGTGACGGGAAGAAATGAGAAGTGATAGAGAAGCAGAAAGGGAGGAAATAAAAAACCCAACAGTTCGGGTTAGCCTTACTGATGACTTGAAAAAGTAGAAGAAAAAAAATTTTATTAGGGTGAGATGCTGACTGCAAGAGCCATGCTTCTTTGCTTATAGGATCTGTTTCTTGTGTAATTCCTCCTTTTCCATGTCATATAGAAATTTGCACGTTTTCCCTAATCAACAGGATTATGTTGAGTGTACCATATCCCATTATCACTTTTTCTTCTGATGACAACAGTAGAGGTTCTCAGAAAAAAAAAAATACTGCTTTTTGTTGGTAGCAAGTTGCTTTCAGCTCTTCGAACTCTTATTAGAGCATTTGATTTTAAAGTTCCTCTGTCAAAGGTTGAGTCTTACTTATTTGTCATAAACAAAAATGTATGTTTCAAAGCACCAAGTGAAGAGAATGGTGCCTAACTGAACATGTTGCTCCTAACAAAGGAGGAGAAATATTGATTCCAGTTAAATTTTGCATCAGAATGTGTTAAAAACAAATGTTAAATATGAATTAGTGGTTGTAGAGCCCTAGTAAATTAAGTAGCAGAGATGTTTTTTCTTCCAACAGGAAATCTTTTGCTTTTTGTGTTTCATTAAGGGCTACAGAACTAAGCCTGGAATTTACAATCAGGAAGAATTGCTGGGCTCTTTTTAGCTGATTGTCTTCTGATGTCTTTCACTGTATTGTACTGTACTATGAATAAGCCTGTGTATTTTTTGCTGTGGACTTCAGTACTGCCTTTGTGTTTTTCAGCACCTTTTGAATGAATTGTGAATCACACAATTTAGGTTAAAGGAAAGTAACCTTCTTAGGAGGTAGTTGAAATCAGTCTGAAAAGTTTTACAAGTGTTGTTCTGATAACCTTTCTGTATTCATTTCTTCCCACAGCTTGGTTTTGTGGTATCATCTCTATCACCGTCATTAGCCTGCTTTCCTTGCTAGGTGTGATCTTGATTCCCATCATTAACCAATGGTGCTTCAAATTTCTTCTAACTTTCTTGGTAGCTCTGGCTGTAGGAACAATGAGTGGAGATGCACTACTCCATCTGTTGCCACACGTAAGTGTTGTTTCCTTACCTTTTATTCTTAATTGTAACTGCATATAGAATTTTCAAAGAATTGTTTGACAAGTATCAACAAATAAATGTTCACTGATGCGGATGTAGATTGACTTGACTATGAGGGACATCCTGAAACAGTGTTTGAGACTTTCTGTGAACAAAAAGAAAGGAAATGTGTGTTTCTTAAGGGGGGGTGGGGAGAAGAAAAGAGAAAAGTAGTTGTATGTTCATAGTTTAACTTCTGTCACAGTATTTTAAAACACCTAATGAGATCAACAAGAGTATTTTAAATTTAGCAGTATTACTGTCTCTTGTCTACTGATACCTGTGTATCAGTACCACCTAAAAGTATTTCAGGGGGATTAACCTTGCTGGTTACTAGCTTTTGGGGAGAAAGTAGCCTCTAACTTACTCAATCAAGAAGCTGTCCAAGTTCCTGGGAAGGTAAGCAGTTTTTAATTTGTGATGGTACACTGTGATTCTTAGAAGGGAAACATTTTCTAAAATTTTGTTACCTTAATTCTTTTAGCAAAAAGATTAATGTTTACATGTTTTCTTTGTGTAAATTTTAATACAAATTTTCGGTCATGTTTTTTTTTTTTGAAGTTTGTATTTCAGATCAGAATTAAAGCTGTAATTGACTGTAATAGAAGAAAATCATGAAGTTTGGTTGCTAATGGGAGTGTAGGAATGATAATTCCTTGTGACATTTCTGAATGTTAGTCTCATTATCTTTAGCAATGTGACAGAAAAAAGCTGAAGCTAGATTATTTCCCCCTCCCCACTAAAAATTTCCCATAGAAATATTTTTTATTGATTAGGGTAATGAATAGTCTAATGAAAAATTTCTATGGTAAAATGTGTTTGTATTTAAAAAAAAAAAAACCAAACCCAAACAAAAACAAACAAAGAACAACCCACAACACAACTTTTAAAGTCTTTTTATGCTACTTTTCTGCAAGGTTACATATTTTGTCTTCTGAGCTTGGAGCTGTTTCAGTCTCCTGATTGCACCAGGTCATGCTGTGTTATTATTTTCTCTCCTAATAGTCACATGGAGGCCACAACCACAGTCACCACCATGGCCAAGGTCATGTTCATGAACACAAGCGTTCTCATCGACATGCCCACGGACATGGAGTACGGACGGAAGGCTTTCTAGAAGAAAATGATCCAGTGCTGAAAGGTCTTGTGGCACTTGGAGGCATTTATGTTTTGTTCATCATTGAACATTGTATAAGAATGTACAAGCATTACAATAAACAAAAGGTACGCACTAAAATTGCATGCAATTTTAAAATATGTTACCTGAACTTATCTTCTGAGTGTTGAGGAGTTGTCTGTGTGATGGTTCATTATTCTGTGAACATGAACAAGTGCTGCTAATCTGCGTTCTGTTTGATTTTATGTGAGGGAACCCTTTTCTAACAGAGGTTGCTTTTCTTAGCAAGGTAATTTGGGAAGTCAAAGTGGAAATCTGATGGGGGAGGTTGCAGCTTTTTGGCCAGATATATTTGGAGGTAGATCTAAGTAGAAGAGATTACAGCTCTTTCTCTAAAGTGCCATGATCTTTTTGCAGAAATATGAAAGGCAGTATGTAAGAAAGAACTGGTAATAGAGCCAGACAATTGTCAGACAATTTACAAGAAATGTAACTGTACACTGTTAGCCAATGATGCCAGTGTAACAGAGGTATTCAGTTTTTCCACATGAGAAAATGCCAAAATTTGCAGACCTCCTCCTTTCTCTAAAGTGCCAATCAAATTTTAACTTGTTTCCCTGAAAACAATTGGATTTTTAGGGCTGGGAGCATGCTGTATTCATGATGGTGGTATAGAAGGAGAGCGAGTACCTCAGGGGGAGTGTTACAGTGGGTAGCAATTGAAGCCACCAAAGAGCAATATTCTTTCAACAGTCGTTATAAATACACTTTTAACTTTTGTCTCCATCATTCGACTTTGAGGAGAAAATTATTCTGGTGAAACTGTAACTGCTTCTCCCAAAATGAGTGTGAAAAAATTTAAAGTTCTCTGTTTCATGTCAGACTTGCTGCCTCAGCTGGACAGGCAGCAAAAGATGTTCTATGTTGGAGGAGGCATTTCTTAGATCTTCTGATAAAGAGATAAAAGCTGTCACATTGAGCGTGTCTTCTTTGAGATTAATTAAATAATTAAATCCCCTAGGCTGCTTTGGCAAATCTGTATCTCTGTTTATGGGCTGCAGACAGGAAAGTAGCAAGCTTTTCTCTAAAGGCAAATACAAGGAAGTTACAGGAGTATAAAACTTGAACAAAATAGAGGAGCTGTTCTTGCTGCATGCTTGCTTTCTTGAACAAAATAAGCAAGTATACTAACTCTAGACACACGTGTTTCTGGGCTGTTAGAGCAATCCTTGTCATAATGTACTCTGTTATTGAAGTGACGTATTGTCTCTGTGTGTGTGTTTGTGAGATTCTGAGGTAAGAATTTCCACTGGGATGGGTATCGTTGCTGAGCCTTACAAAGATTAATATTCTGTAGTCACATACTTCTGTTAGGCATATTAAGAGAGAGTAATTTAGTCTATTTTGAAGAGATTTTTTGACAGCATTTCAGTTTCTTTTATTTCCATTGATGTCCTTTTACAAACCAGACGTTATCCGTTTCCTGTTGCAGAGTAAGCAGAAATGGTGCAAGAAAAAACAGACTGAAGAATCGCCAATTGGAAGGAAACTTTCCGATCACAAGTTAAATAATAGACCAGATGCTGACTGGCTTCAGCTCAAACCCCTTGCAGGTAGGCATTTATTTTCAGAATTTTCTCTGATTACGAGATTCAAAGTAATGGCATGTAGCATGTAACCTCTTGTACAGTTTTGCTGCTATTATGCAAATCATTGTTAATAAGACTTAATAGGCTTTCCCTATTAAATCTTTTTTTATTTTGTTTTCCTTAGATCTGAGAGCACTCTGAACACTTCCTAATATGCTGTACAAATGGTTCTCAGACTTCTGAAGCAGTCAGGTTTTGGGTGGCTGTGGTTCTTTGGGGGTTTTTAAAATTTGTTTGGTTTGGGGGTGTTTTTTGGTTAAGCTGTGCCTGACGAGCTCAGCCTTGGCAAAAATTAGATCGAAAATGAACACACACAACCTGAAAGGGGATATCTGTTACTTTGAAGATTCCAGCCTCTGACCAATTATATAGTTTGGCTGAGAAGGCTAAACAAAATTAATTTCTTTTCATAAATACCACCAAGTGTCCCGAATATTCCTCAAGTATCCAAAACAACTTTCACATACTGTTCCTTCATGACAGTCTGAATGCTCATGCAGTATGTACCCAGAAGGAATGCTGTATCGCCCTTCTTGAAGGGGTGAGGGAAGGGGAAGGGCTTTGCTTCATAAGCTTCCCTTCCCATTGCCTGCATGGCTGCTGAATTAATTTGTTGATGAAGAATCCATAGGCTATATTTATACAAATGCAATTTTGTTAATTTGAATACTTTGTAGAAGGGAGAGTTAGGACTGTAGCCTTCTCCACTCAACCAGCTTAAAATGGAATTTGGGACATTGACAAATAACATAGAAAGACTTTCAGCGGTGAGGATGGTGGTACATATATTTGAAATGTCTTCATTTTCTTTTAACGGGCGATCAGAGGAATTTTGCTTCTAATAACATGGAGCACTTACTGGTTTTATAACACTGTTCCACTGAAAGTGCACTCTTCTGGTCAGTAAATCATTCGTACTGCAGGCACTGGAGGCCTATGCTGGATTTGAATTTTGAACTGCAGTGCCACTACCACTGACCTGAATGGCATTCCATTTCTTTTTAAACAGCCTCCAAATGATGTTTAAGAGCCTGTTTATCTAGAACTCTGTCTGCTGCTTGGGTACCCTGTGCCTAGTTTTTCAATTCCGCTTACTGTTTGCTTATTTTTGACTCTGAAATATTTTTGCTGAATTATTGTGAGCTAATAACGTCATCGTCCAGAACTGCTTTTTTTCCCACAACGGTTTTGTTTCCTGGAGCATAGATTGCCACTTTCATTTATTTATTAATACTTCAGAAACATTAGTAGACTTAAAATTCATGCACATATGCCTTCTGCATTGTTTTCACTTTGTATTTCTTCGTAAAAATGGCTTTGATTGCTAGCAGGGTAATGAGCTACATTGAAGGAGCTCACTGTATGACACAAGTGTCTGACACGAAGATGCATGCAATACAGAAACTATTTAAAGATCTGTTTTATCAGTGGCAGATCCTGGTATGCTTCAGTGAAGGCTAAGCTGTGACCTGTATGGGCATGCATAGAGAGCAGCCAGTTAAGGTTTCCTGTAGATTCCATCTACAGCATATAAGACATTATTATCATTCTGGCAACTTTCTTTTTCCAATGTTGAACCACAAACTTCACCAGTAGCAAAATTACAGACACAGCCTAGGTTGGGCTAAAACTGACTTTGTGTGCTATGGATACAGTGCTGTTGCCTTGTGGAGACTTCTATATGCTGCTGTACATGCAAATTAGAGAAAAAATGGGACAGTGAGAAATACATTTTTTTGGCTGAATGTTGACAACAAAGTTAGTAGATTGGTATGTGTTAAAATACTACTTTTGCTTTCGCAAAGCAGTTAAATTCTTAGCCTAATGATGCAGTAGTTGCTGGTGATATTTTAAATAAGAACTAATGCAGTCTCTCTCCCAACTGGCTTCAATGTAGGAGCAGACGACTCAGTTTTATCTGAAGATCGACTCAATGAAACTGAACTAACTGATTTAGATGGCCAGCTGGAATCCCCTCCCAAAAACTTCTTGTCTGTAGAAGAGGACAACAATATGCACCATTCTCACAATGATGTCTCACATGCTGCTCAAGAGCATGATCTTCATGATTCAGAGTATGACAGCCATGGCGAAGATAAAATGATAGCTAGAAAACACAGTCACCACTGGCATCACAAACATTCCCATCATTCCCATGGCCACTGTCATTCTGGAAAAGACCTGAAAGATACTGGGATAGCTAATATTGCTTGGATGGTAATTATGGGAGATGGCATTCACAACTTTAGTGATGGCTTAGCAATCGGTAAGCAAAAGCACTGAGTATTTCTCAAAAGTTTCTTCTTACTTTTAGTAACTTTGGTAATATTTTACTTATCAGTGATCACAGGTAAGGCTTCCAGTTAGCTCCTGTGGTTAGAGGCATTGTTTAATCTCCTTCAGAGCAGAAATTAAAAGGCCATCAGTTGTCATAGTCTTCCCTTTGTTAATACTCTGTGACTATTTCCACCAATATTGCTGTGTTGATAGTAGCAGTAGCAATCTCTGCCAAATACAGATAGGTGCAGGTAAATCTCTCTATGAATTACGGAGCTCATATAATGCGTATTTGTTGTTTGGGTCTTAGTATTTGCCTTTGCATAATAAATAAGTTCCTTTCAGTCTTATTTATAATGATGTTTATTTATAATAA